CTATATTACATTTTTTAAAAGCCTCACACTCAAAGATACCCCCTTTTCCCTCAAAGACCAACTAATGGGTATGATATATCAGTCAGGCCAGAAAAATGGGAAGAACTAGGAGCAGTCCAGAGTAGGAACTGGGCTACAAATGTGCTGAGATGGGACACTGTTTCTGTCTCCAGAGTCTTAGGGAACCCAGTGAGGACAGAAGGAAGAAGCAGAAGCTGGAGGTGAGGCACAGACATCAGGGTTCATGGACCATCATGAAGACTAACTGGTGTAGGCATCAGTAGGTGTAGGCATCAGTAAATGCAGGCAAAAGAGGCTGAGGAACAAGGGAGTCATCTGAATAGAAGGCGGGGGGGGGGGGGCACTGGAAGCTCAGAGAAAGCTTCCCGCTGAGCCAGCTTTGGTCTAAGGGTGAGAGTGAGCAGGGAAGGGAGGTGCAGTAGCCGAGGGCGCTGAGCATCCTTCCTCCTCCCCAGAGTCAGGCCCCCCGTCCACCAGCTGCAAAAAATCCAACTTTGTCCACCCTCCCTCTTATGTCACCAGATTCCTTCGGTCTGAAGTAAGATCCTTGTGGCTATTAGACCAAAGAGCCCTTACATAAATGGAAAAAAAAGTGAAACTCACCAGTCAAAGCCATTGTATTCATTTGAAGTTTCTATCCATGTGAAAAGTAAAAGTGTAGATAAGCAAAATGACACAACCAGCCAAGGGTAAAATAATTGCTCTCTCTGGAAAGAGAAAGGAGGAGGCCTCATTTAGCTCCATTTATCAATGGTACCTCAGCAACATCTGTTTATACTCCCCAAAGGTCTATATAGTTACAGTGCAGCATTACCCTCCTCAGGCTGGAGAGACCACTGTATTCTTTTACCCCTGTGGAATTTTGTAGAAGCCTATTTATAACATTATAATCATAAGGGATATGGTTTAGGTCCTACCTTAATGACTTCGTGGTTTTCCCTACTTTCTTCAATTTAAGTCTGAATTTTGCCATAAGGAGTTCATGATCTGAACTACAGTCTGTTCCCGGTATTGTTTTTGCTGACTGTATAGAGTTTCTCCATTTTTGGCTGCAAAGAATATAATCAATGTGATTTCAGTATTGACCATCTGGTGATGTCCATGTGTAGAGTCATCTCTTGTGTTGTTGGAAGAGGGTGTTTGCTATGACATGTGTGTTCTCTTGGCAAAACTGTTAGCCTTTGCCCTGCTTCATTTTGAACTTCAAGGCCAAACCTGTCAGTTACTCCAGGTATCTCCTGACTTCCTACTTTTGCATTCCAGCTCCCTATGATGAAAAGGACATCTTTTTTTGCTGTTAGTTCTAGGCCTTGTAGGTCTTCATACAATTGTTCAGCTTCTTCAGCATTAGTGGTTGGGGCACGGGCTTGGATTAGTGAGATACTGAATGGTTTGCTTTGGAAACAAACAGAGGTCATTCTGTCATTTTTGAGCCTATACCCAAGTACTGGATTTTGGAATAAAGCAGTCTTCTCTAACCAGGTTCCCATCCACCTAACCTATTTTCCTATGTATTATCTTCAAAGCTCTTATCACTGTCTGAAACCATCTTTCTTCATTACTGTTTATTACCTAACTCATCCCACTAGAATGTGAGGTATAGGAAGGCCAGAGGCCTTAGTGGTCTTACTCACTTATACACATTCAATAAACTTGTTTTTGTTGAATAAGCACATCTCCTTATTTTGATTCTCACTGTTGTCACTCTTGCTCAAAAATTCAAAGGCTCCCCACTGTTTACAGGATAAAGTTCAAATATTTTAGGCTGACATAAAGATGCTACATAATTAGATTAAAATATTCCTTTCCAATCTGATCACTTACCATTTATCACCTTACCTGCTCATAAATTCAATACTGGAAATTTGTTTTTCCCTAAACACACCACTGTGCTTCTCTGTCTCTGGACTTCTGACTATTGTGTTTCCTCCACCCAGAACCCCCTATACCATCATTCCTGTAAGTGAAAGATGACTTCACAAGTCAGTGACTCCAAGAACAGTAAAATGACAGCTGACATTTATTTAGTCCTAACTGTATTCCAAGCCCAGTACTAAGTATTTACACATTTTATCTCTTCTTTCCTCACAACAAACTCCATTGGTGGGCACTGCTGCTACCATCTCCATCATTCAAATGAGGAATCAATCACTGGAATGTTAGGTAACTGGCCAAGGTCCCACAGTGGTTAAGCTCTAGTTTGGAGATAGTCAATGATGAAGTCATAAATTGAATCCAGCCAGCCTTTCCCTAGAACACAAGGAATTTGTTCTTTTGCTATATGCTAGATTTCTTCCCCTGAGCATAAACAGGGCCTTGAGAATTGCCCAGGGACTTTGAAAATTATATAGTTTAACTCCCTCTGTAGAGAGGCTCAGAGATAGCATATAACTAGCCCTAAAGCAGAGCTGGAACAGCACCAAAACATACTCCCAGGCAGTGGTCCAGGGACTTTTCCATTATACCACACTGCCTCCAATGCCACCTTTCCTAGGAAGCCTACCTTTTTCTTTCATTCAATGTCCTTTATAGCTCTCTTGTAACTTACTTCATCATTCCTAAGTAATATGTGTTGCATCAATTTGCTGTTCTTCATTTTTACCATCACTTCACTAATCCAGGACACCAACATCTCTAACCCTGATTACTACTGTTGCTTTTCTCTTTGAAGGCAAAGACACCTTTCTGCATTACTCTCATACTGTTTAATGCATCTTCCACATGATCCAATAATCATTCCAAAACATAGCTCAGACAACAGTTATAGCTTAAAATCTTTAGGGACTCTCAATTCCCTACATGGAAGAAGTCCAATTCTTAAAACCACACTACATCTACCAACTCCCTCTCTATGTTCACTTCCCATCACTTCTCCATTCATATCTTCTGCTCCACCTAAAATAAACCTCAGACCAAGCCTTTTGACTCCTCCTTCAATACGATCTCTTTTGCCACCCTCTATTCTTTATCTATCCAATTCTTAATCACATTTAGCATTCTAAACAAAGTTATTTTTGGCTCCCTCTCTTGTAACATGGACAGAGACGTGCATGCATATGAATACACACACACAATTATACCATTGTCTCAGTATACTGAGATTAATGTATACTTGTCTTTTCCTCCAGTAGACTGTGAATTCCTTGAGAGTAAGTACAATGCCTGAGGAACTTGTGTTGTCACTGGTATAGAAACCAAATATTTGGGGGGGAAAGATACATGAACTGAAGGACACTCATGCCTAATGGGAAGCCTCCCATTCCCACCGCTTTCTTTGTGCTCCCCATGTCAGACCAGAGAAATCAGTAATCCAACTGGTCAGAATTCTGGACCCAGCTAGACCGAGTTTATAATTAAGTGAAGATACATAATACTTCCGTCCTTTTCTCACTTCAGTGTGCTCATCATTTCATCTTTTATATCACAGGCCCACCACAGAGGCCCAAAATATGACTTAAAGAAAGAAAGAGGTGCTCAATGAGGACAGACCACATGCTACCATTCGGCCTTGCCAGTGATCCTTCATTAGATAAAAATCAAATACTTGCCTGACCAATAACAAAGGAGCACCTTATTTCCTACCTGCTGGTTTTTGTTTTTGTTTTTCATAAGCACAGCTCCTTTGGGAAATTCACACTGAAGAGAGATTTAAAAATTCAACTATTCCTATACTCCACAGCCAAGAACATCTGATTGACCTATATCTCACTTCTTCTTCCAGGTTCACTTACTAATAAAAGAAGATGAATAAGTGAATAACAGAATGACAGCAAAGAAATTAATAATAAAAGTAAAAGAAAACAAGCACATGTTTCAGTAAAATTAACTGTGGCCCCAGAATTGTGGCAGACCTTTCACAGAAGAGCTAGAGCCCCTTCCCAGTCCTGAAGACTTTGGTGAACCTGTATGAGGGTAGGAACCAGCCCATGTTCCCCAAATTAAGAAAATGTGGTCCAGCTTCTTCCCATCTCTCCGTACCAAAGAGCAGCACTGTCCACGTTTAAGTTTTTTATCCTGTTTGATTTTCCAGTGGCAGCTGTAGCAGCCAATAATGGTAGTAACAAAGCATTTGTGGTTGAAGATGTATAAAATCCATGGAGTATCCTTTTTTTGTTTTCTTGTGTGGATCTGAGGTTCAACCTTGCTGGCCTTCATAGGCATGGTTCACCTTTTTGCTGTAATGACAAATAAAACAATCAAGATCAAGTAGTTTCCTCAAATGTTTCCTACCCTACCATTCTACAGAAAGTGCCATCAAAATAGGATTTAAAAAATTTTTTATAATCTATGATAATGCACTGGATTTGGTATAGAAAATGAGAGCTTCATCCTATCTCTCCCACTATCTAGTTGAGTGTTTCCTGCAGTCATTGCACCATTCAAGTTTAGTTTTCCCAGCTCTAAAAACGGGACCATAGTCTCTGCCCTAACCAACTAACAGACACTGAAGGCGTCAAATTCGGTAATATGGAAAGTAAAAAAATTTTTTTTTACTTTATTACGCTCTTGAAATAACCTGAAAACTTAGGCAACATGAGGGAGTTACATAAAAAACACAGTTTTTGACTAATAAGTGACTCCAACACACAGCTGCCTACCCTTCATAATCCAGATGCTTTAAAATACTTATCAGTGTTTATCAGTCTTGATCAAGAGAAAAATCTCAAAACTAGCTAGCAAAAAAGACATATTACATGTAGAGGAAAAAAGGTAAGAATGTCTCTTAACATTCTTTCAACAATGATTTCTCATTGAAAACAACACAAGCCAGAAGACAGAGGAGCAACATCTGTAAAAACTTAAAAAATGAAACAAGTTAACCTAGAATTCAGAACTCAGCAAAAACATAAAAGATGAGTGTTAAATAAAGAACTTTTCAGATATTTGAAACAATAAGAATTAATCAATAAGTGACTTATACTATGAAAAATTTTTTAAAAAGGCATTGAGTATGAAGGGAAAGGGTACCTGGTGGGAATCCACATCTCCATAAAGTATGAAGTACACTGAAAATATGAAATATATTAATGGATATAAAATACTGTTTTTCTTATTTTAAAAATTACTTCAAAATGTAATAAACTGTTTGAATAAAAAAAAATACAATGACTATTGTAGCTTATAACAACTATCAAAGTAAAATGTATGACAATGGTTCCAAGGCCAGGAGCAGAAAATGAAACTACAGTGCTGTACAGTTCTCATACTATATATAAAGTGGTAGAAAGTAGATTCTAATATGTGAAAAAAAAGTATGCTATAAACTTCAAAGTGATCTCCAGAAAAAGGTGTACATATATAATAAGTCAAAAAGGAGATGAAATGAAATCATAAATATTACTCAATCCAAGAGAAAGCAAGAAAAAAAAAGATACATAGAACAGGAGAACAAATAGGAAGCAAATAGTAAATGCCAGATTTAAGCCTAAATACATCAGTATGTGTTAGTCACACAGTCATATCTGACTCTTTGTGACCCCATGAACTATAGCCCACCAGGCTCTTCTGTCCATGGAATTCTCCAGGCAAGAATACTAGAGTGGATTGCCGTTTCCTTCTCCAAAATACAGCAGCAATTCCTTTCAGTGCAAATGAACTAAATGCTCCATTTTAAAAAAACAACAAAATTGACTAACTGGATTAAGAGAACAAACAACAACAAGCTCCTTACAAGAGTTTGGTTTGTTAAGATAGATTTAGAAAAAATCATGGAAAAAGACAGTCCAGTACTTAGGACCCTATGCTCTCACTGCCAAGGGCCTGGGTTCAAACTCTGGTAAGGGAACTAAGATCCCACAAGCTGCACCATGAAGCACAAAAACAGGAAAAAAGAAAAAGATACACCTTGTGCATATATCAGTATTCAACTACCAGGATAATGCCATGGACAAAGCATGGACAAAACTTCAATCACATATAATAAAAAGCTTCTACTACTCACACATCTGAGCTGATACGCTATCCATTCTGCTGATCTAGACTGGCCTCAGCTATTATGACTAGACAACTCTGCTCCATGTGTCACTCAACCAGGCTGACCTGAGTATGTTTTCATGGTGATGGAAGTCATCCAAGAGAGCAAATCTTAACACGCAAGCCTATTTCAAGCTTCTGTGTCAAGGGATGTCTTGAAGTCAAAGTCAGTTCATGGTAGAGGGCACTGTAAAGTTGCATGGCAAAGGGTGTGAACACAAGGGTGTAACTAAACAAAGGATGAAAACTGAAGTCAAATGATATGATCTACCTCACTATATTATCATTAAATCAAAAAACTTTAAGGCAAAAGAATTAGCAGAGACAAAGAGGGACATGTATAATGATGAAGAAATATCTTAAAAACATTTGTGGCCACCTAATTACATAGCTTCTGAAGGAGAAATAGACAAATCCACAACCACGGTAGCAAATTTAGCACACTTCCCTCAATAAATGATATAATAAGCATATTAAAAAAGTCTGTAAGGATATAGAAGATGTTAACAATTAATAAACTAGTTTTAACTAACACTTATAAAACACTGTACTCAATGACTGCAGAGTTTTATGTTCAAGCGAAAATGAAACATCAAAAAAACACAATTAAGCCGGAAATCAGTAAGAAAAAGAGAACTAGAAAATCCCACACTTGGGAATTAAACACCATATTTATAAAAACCCATGGGTCAAAGGGAAATGACCACAACTGAACTGAGAAAACAGTTTGAACTGGTTGATGAACTTACATGAACTTGGGGTGACTACAGTGTCCAAGAAAGATGTGTACAAAAGTTCTGTGTCTGGGAGGAAGGTAAGCTGCTTGAATACTAAATAAAAGGCAACATTTAAAGCAGAATCATTACCATAACCATTTTCCATATGTACAGATCTCTTAACTTTGTGTATATCAGCCAGAGTAGCCAAGTTCATATGAAAATCAATAATATTTAGGGAAAGATCAATAAATATTGTTTCCCTTGCAGCTCCTTCTGAGATTTCCAAACCCATGTATTCAACAGCCTACTGAAATTTACAATTATTTATTTCCCGTTTCAGTAAATGACACCACTCTTCACCTAGTTACCTGAGGCAAAAAGGATTGAGATACCAGAAAAACTCACCCTTACCCCATAAAAACTAGAAAACTGTAAATATATATATATATATATATAACTACTATAAGACGTTGAAAAGGCAGCGATGAGCAGTGATCCTGGAGAAGAGAAACCAACGAACATGCCCTTCACACCTGCAGTGACTTGCAGATAAGCCGAGCCACCTGGCATATAGCGGAGCTTGGTGGGCCCCATCCATCCCCTCTACTCACCCTCCCTCACTCCCCCACTCCTCACCTCCCCCAACCCCCGTCTCAGATGGGGACTGGAGACTGGCTCAGGTCCTCAGCATCCTCTGTAGAGCAGAGGGAATAATGGCAGCTCCAGCTTTATTGGAGGACGTGGTGAGGATGAGCTGACAGGATAGAGAGCCTCAGGTGTGCCTGCCACCTTGAGAGTATTAATGTAGCTTTCTCTTTCTGGAGATGCTTAAGGGGGAAGTACTTATGGTGACTTCACCACGAGAAACCTAAATCTGGAATTCAAGCTGAAGGGGCCGACTTCTCTCAAGCCGAAGGGGCCGACATCTCTCAAGATGGAGGCCAGGCAAAATGAGACGCCCAAGGCTAGAACGCGGTGGGCGTGGCCAGGGGCGTGGCCTCGGGTATCTAGTCAGACGCTTAGACTGAATTTAAAGCCAACCGCAAACCTTAGCTCAGACCAACACGCTTTAAATGTTTTTTAAGGTATACCGTGTTTGTTTTATTGTTGGTTCTTCTAAAAATGTTATTTTCGTTCTTCTAAAAATAACATAAACTTAGTTCTTGTTAATCACTTAGTTCAGGCATTTATATTCTAGCCCAGTTATTCATAGTTTCATTTTTTAGCTATTTTCTCTTGCCCTTTTTTCCCCCTAAGCTGCTTCAAAAATAGACCTGTGTAGTTTTGTTTCTTTGTTTAATCTTTGATTCACACAGCTATTTCTCTAGCTCTGACTTTATTTCTGAGCTCTAAATTCTTGTACCCATCTGCCTGCTAGTCATCTTCATCTGAATGTCCTGGGGTAGACACGTCAAATTCAGTAAACTCTCACTTGAATTATCTTTCGCTTCTAATCCGCTCCATTACCTGCGAATGCTTCCAGAATGCCAAATAACAAGACCTGAAATCTATGCCTCATTCTTAACTCCTTCTTCTCCTCTGCAAACCCCTCTCCCTCCTAATGGGGACAAGGTTCTGCTTGTTACACTTCCTCTTCCTGTTCATTTCTATCCATGTCTCCTAGTCATTCCGTGTTGATTTCAGTGCCTACTAGGCCTGTAATCACCTCCCTGGGTACCAACTGCTTAGTATTGCTATAGTAAGCCTTTAAGGTAGTTATAGTTACTACAGTTGACTCCCAAAGAATCTCACTACTTCCAGTTTACCTTCCCAAAACTCTACCTTTCAAAGATCAGGTAGTGAGTGACCTACAGGAGTTAGGCACTAATTGCCCTAATGTGTTTTAGTGTATGGTGTTCTAATTGGCATGCTGTGTGAAGCATTACCCAGATTGTACAAAGAGGAGGCCTTATGCAGACTACATTTAGCAACTGTGTCCCTGTTGGCTGGTCAGTTAATTTGACATCTGGCAACCTCTAGTGAGAACCAAAAGCTGTTAGCTAACATAAATTTCCTTGTCCAATCGCAGTCCCTATAGAAACTACAGAAAAAGAAAAGAACCTCAGCAAGAATAGAATATTTTTTTCTTTTTTTCATATCACAGCATAAATTCAAACTTGAGAGGATGAAAATATTAAATATATATCTTTAGAAAAATGACCTCAAATTTTTTAGAAGTTTCACTGCAGTCAATTACTACTCTAAAGAAAATTAAAATGTATACATATAAAAGGAAAAGTGTGAAAAGCTTAATGATAACATAAGTATCAAAGAAAAAAAGAAAAGAAAATGACTTTTCTATATATTACAAATAAAACTGGACAGTTGTTTGACATTTGTTTTCAACAATTATTTTTACAAAATATATGCTCAAAGTTCAGAATGATACAATTTTACTATATTTTAATTAACCCTATAAAGCATAGTATTAGTCCCTGAAATTAAGATATTAAATAATTAAGTGTATTTCAATGCCAAATGTAAATGTATAAATAAATACATACAGTATGAATGAGAATATAATGGCCTTAACTCTCAAAGCACATAGCACAGAACTTGATATTCTGATAAATTTAGTTGTAACATCCATAACTTTTATAATGATTCCTAGTTGATTAAGATCAATGTATATTAACAGGATAACATAGGCATAGAAGGATGAATGACATATGGTCACACTCTGAATGAGTGGATGGATGTCTCATCTAGTAGAGTGGATATCAGAAATAATGATCAAATGTGATAAATACCTTGTATGATGAACAAATGAAAGCTTATAGATGTTCCATTAAAAGTGATCACTTTGCTCTTGCATAGCAAAGGAAACTATAAATAAAGTGAAAAGACAACCTTCAGAATGGGAGAAAATAATAGCAAATGAAACAATTGACAACGGATTAATTTCCAAAACATACAAGCAGCTCATACAACTCAATACCAGAAAAACAATCTAATCCAAAAGCAGGCAAAAGAACTAAATAGGCATTTCACCAAAGAAGACATACAGATGGCTGACAAAA